TTGATAGGAATTGTATTGAATTTAGAAATTAATTTGGGTAGTATTAACATTTTAGTTATATTGATTCTTCCAATCCAAGAACAAGGGATGTCTTTGCACTTTAAAAAATCTGTCTCAATTTCCTTCTGTAGGTTTTCTTAATTTTTATCATAGAGATCTTTTACATCTTTAGTTAGATTTATTTCTGTGTGTGTGTGTGTGTGTGTGTTTATGTCCATTATAAATGGGATTGCTTTTTCAATTCTACCTCAGTATATTTGTTGTTGGTATATAAAAAAGCTATAGAGTTTTGTATATTGCTTTTGTATCTTGCAACTTTACTGAATTCATTTATCACTTCTAGGAGTTTTTTGTGGATTTTAAAAGGATTTTCTATATATATAATTATGATATCTGCAAATAGGAATGATTAAACCTCTTTCCTTCCTATCTGAGAGTTTTTTTAATAGCTCTCTTATCTAATTGCATTGGCTTTGCTAAGACTTCCAATACTGTACTGAAAATAAGTAAGAAAAGTGGACAGCCTTACCTTGTTACAGTTTTTAGTGGGAAGCCTTTCAGCCTTTCCGTTCAGTGTGATGCTAGCTATGGGTCTGTCATATATGGCCTTTATTGTGTTAAGAAATGTAGCCTCTATATTTATTTTGTTGAGCATATTAATCATGAAAGGATATTACATTTTTTTTTGAGAGGTTTTTGCTATAGGGCACGTGCGCTCGCCAGACAGACAGAGAGAGACATAGAGACAGAAAGCGAGAAATCACCCCCCAGGGGGGATGGTCACACCGCAATCCCTTCTCCATTCTCCTCTCGGGATCTTGGGCATGCACGCACACGCGCCCGGCATGAGTTCTAAGCCACTGGGTCCGAGATGCAAACCACAGTCGACTACGTGGGAATCCAGCGACATAGCCATTATGCTAACTGCTGGTTCCCAAAGGTTATTACATTTTATAAAATGCTCTTCCTGCATCAATTGATGGTATATGGTTTTTATCTTTATGTTAATATATTACATTTATTGCTTTGTGTATGTTGAACTTTCCTTGCATCCTGGATAAAGCCCAAAGCCTATTTGGGCATGATGTATAATCTTTTAAATGTATTATTGGGTTTGATTTGCTGGGGTTTTTTTTGTGTGTGTGTTCTGTTTTTAGGATTTTTGTATCTATATCATTATGGATGCTGGTCTGTAGTTATCTTTTGTTGTTGTGTCTTTGTATGCTTTTGGTAACAAGATGATGGTGGCATCATAAAATGAGTTTGCGAGAGTTCCTTCCATTTGGGTCTTTAGAAATTTTAAAGTTTTGTAGAGGGACTAGAAGGTGGCATGGTGATTGGGGCACTGGACTCCCACATGGCTAACCACAATTCAAGTCCTGGACCTGGCAGCTTGCTTTTTGACTTTCCCTCTCTCTGTCTCTCTTGGGTCAAATTCAAATAATAATAATAATAATGAGTAAAGCTAAATAAAACAATTCTTTAAGAAAAGTTTGGTAGAATTTAGTAGTGACATAATGGGGAATTGGGCTTTGCTTTGTTGGGAGATTAGTTATTACTAATTCAATCTCATTGCTTATTATTGGTCTATTCAGGCTTTCTATGTCTTTCTGGTTCAATCTAGGTCTGCCCTTCTGGACAGTCAAGGGCAAGTGTCTAGATCCCTCAGTCTCTGTTGAGGGGATGCTCTTGTACACCGCATTCTGGTGGGAGTGGCAGGGATGTAGAGTTTTGGGCTTTTAGTGTGAAGGAGATCAACAACAGGTCTCAGTCATTTGGGGTGTTCAAACTATTCCTTCTAATTACAGAGGCCTCTCTGTGTTAAACGCTCCTGCAGGGCTATGGAGACCCCAGATTACCTGGTCCCAATAATAATCAGAACTACACCTACTATCGGTTGGCTCTCAAAATAGTTCTGAGCTTGGACCAGCCCATAGCATGATGGTTAAGGCATCTGGATCCCATGTGATCAGCAGCACAGTTCAAGTCCTAGATCTGGTGGCTCGAAAAACACAGTGTGTGTGTGTGTGTGTGTGTGTGTATGTGTGTATGTGTATGTATGTGTGTGTGTGTATGTGTATGTGTGTGTGTGTATGCATGCCCAAAATCCCAAAAGGAAGGAGAAATGGAGTAGAAGGGATTGCACTGTGACTATATTCCTCATGGGAATGAAAAACACATGTCTGACATGTTTTTCAAGCAGCTTGGCCTTATACTTCAACAGTGGTTGAAGGGATCCAGCCTTCTATACACAGGGCTTAACTGCTGCACTGCAGGGCTGGCCCTCACGTACTGCTTTTTAATATTTGGGTCTTTACCTGGAATTTGTTTTTGGGTGTGAGGTAAAGATGCATTTTGTTTTATTTATTTTTTCTTGTGTGTGTGAGAATGAGCATTTGTCTCCTGAGTAGGGATCAGACACCTTTTTTCTGCAAAATACCAGATAGTAAATATTACGTTGTGTGGACTATATGTTCTTTCTGACAGCTACTTAACCTTTTTCACTTGATTTCTCCAAATGAAGTTAGGAATAATTAAAGTACCTACTTCCTAATAGTGTTGTAAGGATTAAATAATAGACTTCATAGGCAATAAGTAAGCAAATGGGTACAGTTGTGTTCCCATAGAACTTTATTTACAAAAACATGTAGCAGGTTGAATTTGGTCCATGGCTGTAGTTTGCCAATCCCTGCTCTAAACAGACCTCTCATTCAGTGTAGATAGCATAAAAGGAATTAGTAAGGTATATATTAATTGTTATATATAGTTATATATATATATATACACACACATACACACATATATATACACACACACTATTACTCATACACACACATACACACACACACACACACACACATATATATCCACACACACAAACCCCCACAGATGTATATACTATGTAATATAATAAACATATCATATAAATTTATTCATTTATATTTCCTGCTAATCCAAGAAATTAGCCACCCTCATTCTCCTTAAAACTTATTTCCTCCTTTACACATTACTCATTCAATCAGCAATTTTTTAAAATTAAATCTCCATATAGTCTAGTAACATAGAATTTATGTAAATTTAACAATTTATATAACTTGTTTCATTTATAGATAGCTCAAATTGTTTTTGAAAACGTCTGTTTTTAGTCTTTTATTCTTTAGCCTAAAACTCTACTTCTGAAGCACTGTGTTATAAACCTAGTGTCTCCTGACACAAAAACATACCTCAAGTTTTTATTTACCACCTTTCCCTGCCCAGGGCGGACAGTTCATATGAGATTCTCTCTTATAATTGTCTCCAGGTGATTCTCAATCATCCAATCAGTTATTACATGTCTAGTTTTTGTTGCTTGTGTTTGTTTTGTTTAGTTTTCTTATAGGGCATATGTGTTTGCCAGAGAGAGAAAGACAAGAGAGAGAGAGGGAAAGTGAGAAAATCACTCCTCAGGGATGCTGGCCCTGCCACAATCCCGTCTCCTCTTAGGACTTTGGGCACTCACTCACAAGCACCTGATGTGATTGTCAAGCTGCTGGATCTGAGACTCAGACTATGAAGTCAGCCATGTGAGATCCAGTGTCTTAACCTCCCTGCCACCTGCAGGACCTTGCATGTCAAATTTTTAAATTGATCACTTTCCTAAGCATTGAAGACACAAAGAGGAGCAAGTTCCTCTGAAGACTGGGCGTCCACACAGAGCACGCTGCTGAGATGTGGCCTGACCATTCAGTTCCTTATATCTCATAGATCTCTCTCTGCATTATGCTTTTGGGAGTGGAACCCGACATCATGCTGCAACACCCCCCAAACAGAGGCTAAATTTATCTCAACTTAAGTTTAGCAGATATCAGGCCCTATTATAGCTCTTTTCTTCAAATGAGGATATGTAGGCTCAGAGTGCGAAAAACAAAACAAAACAAAACAAAAACAAAAAACAAACAAAAAACCTTGCCCAAAGGCAGAACTGAGCAAAAAAATCCAAGTCTTAAAACTTCTAAGTCAGGGCTGGCAACTGGCATGGGGGTTGAGGCACTGGACTCCCAAATGGCTGACCACAGTTTGAGTTCCAGACCTGGCTGGGACAAATTCATAACAATAACAACAAATAAAATAAAATAAATAATTCTTTTAAAAAAAAAAAAAAAAACTTCTAAGATTTTTCAGCTATAACTTGCCTCCTCCACACCCAGAAGAGATTATCCTGATCAAACTTCATATGATTATAAAACAGTCTTTACCAGTAAAACACTAGGAATCAAGCACTTACAGCAGCAACAAAAGTAGGACTTAAAGTACAACTTCTGTATCTCTTTAAAGTATAACTTCTCGATCTGTATATCTCTAAAGTACATCCTATTTCTTCACCTCTCTAAAGTACATCCTCTTTCTATCCAAAGACATCTAAAGCTTACTCCATTAGAATAGGTACATGTCTCTCTCCTTGCGAGTGAGGGTGTCAGAGCAAGAGTGACTGTACAGTGCTATTAAAATATAAGGATTATTGCGGTTACTGGAGAGCCAAGTGAAGACGAGATTATGTGAAAAGTTGAAGAAAAAATGTTATTTATTTTTCAATGCCAGAGGATGCATGCATGCACTTACATGCAAAATAGAGAGTGTGAGCACACTCCAATTGGGCTTTGTCAGACTGCAATCCTTTTTCCTCTAATTCTCCATCCTTTCAGGATCCTGGGAGCATACATGTGTGCCTGGTGTATTGCTTCCAGAAATGGGATTTGAACATGGTCGACCATCTGGCTTCCTCTGTACAGCACTTAACTGCTGTGCTACAGGGATAGCTAAAGAAAAATATTAAGGACCACAGATATACATGTTAGTTTTTTTGCACTTGTAAAATGAAAATATTTCTGTCAGTTAAATGTTTCTTCTTTTCAAGCATGGTTCTTGTCTTAGACAAGAAATTTCCTTCAGAAATTAATGGCCATGTTTAATGGGCTAGGAATGTCCAGGCAATGGGAGTAATCTCTGGGCTTCTCTTCCAGGTATTTACCTTGCTGTGGATTGCCGACTGGATGGTCCATCACTTCTGGAGGAAAGGAAAGGACCCAGATAGTTTCTCCATTCCCTATCTAACGGCACTGGGTGATCTACTCGGGACAGCTCTGTTGGCCTTGAGTTTTCATTTTCTTTGGCTTATTGGAGATAGAGATGGAGACGTTGGAGACTAATAAATCCTGCCTACTGCTCTTGAGATGCCACAGAGGAAGACACAAGACAACCACTTACGGCTCTTTTCCAAAACTTTTAAATCAGTAGTTTGACTTTAGCCAGGGTGATCTTCAGTTGGCCCTGATTCAATTAAATGGCCTTAACATTTTTTTAAGGAATTTGTGTTGAAACCACAATGGACAGTATGTGCTGCTTTTCATAGAATAAATGATAGTTTGACATAGACATAGCTACAAGCTCCAGCTCTGGAATTAAATAGGAGAAAAAATAAGATGTTTACAATGAATAATTTTGAAACCACAAACATAGCAGAAGTGTACTTGATCATTGTTTAACTTGTAAGGTAAGGTTAGAAGAAACAGAGCTCGATGTTAGCCTTGCCTCACCTTTTATTATACTGCCAATTATACTATAAAATGAATCATGCCAACCAAGCTTTTAGTAGTATAAACTATGTCCACCTCTCTGTTAGCTGAGGATAACTGTACCAATTACTTATTCCTGTAATGACTGAAATATGTCCTGCTGAGCATAAGTTAAATGCACTTTTACCTGCACCTAAAATTACCTTGTGCTAATACCAATTCAGTTTCAACTCTGCAAATTCTTGGAAAGCTACCCTTCAAACATAAAATGATCAGGAAAGATGTTTAGTGAAAGCAGTGGGCCATTTTTGATTATGGATATGTTGAGGAGGTGATCTTTCTCAGCAAACTTACTAGTCAAAACAGAAGATCCCTTGAGCTGCATTTGTAGAGACAAGTTAGGTACAAGAAAGTATGTGAATTATGTGTGTGTGAGAGAGAGACAGAAAGGGACAAAGAAACAGAGTCGCCTTCGATGGGGAACTAAATCTTGGAATTGTTGGTAGTGGAGCGCTACTGGAATATCAGCATTATAGCGTTGTCCTTAAACAGTTTATTGATATGCCTTGGTCATTTGGTCCTAAAGTTTTACAATGGACAAGAACTTAGTGCTTGTTATCTATATTATAATGGATAGTTTCTTATTTTTAAAAAGGTGGTACTATTTAATATGATCAAAGTGTAAGATTTATAGTGAGCAAGTGATTCATTTGCTCTTTTAAAGAATATGATACCCTTTTAAAAGAGCAATTGGTGAGTTACCTCAACTCTTGTTCATGCCTATACATATCATCTGTTTGCACCGGCTTATTTCTACATGGGACCATACCATGTACACAGCTCTATTTCTCAAATATTTTTCTAAAATTCTGGTCTGTATTCTAAACGCTTGACCAACACCTTAGCTATTGAACAGGTAGGCATTTTTACATCACTTATAGTTCATTTTTTAAAACATAGTGCAATATCTCAAGACCATTAGATATTTAATAATTTAAATGATAAGAGAATAAAAATGTAAGTTACCTTTGATCATCATGGTCTAAGTTGGGAGTTAGTGTTATGTAAATAGTAGGTTGTTTATAAATATACTGGGGGAAGTATTCTTATTAAGCTCTTTAAAATAAGAGGACTGTGGTTTAGAGTTATATATTTTTGCTTATTTTTAAACTTTATTCCATTCTTCTGCCTTACGAGGCTTTCAAGGCAGAGAACTGAACTAATTATAGAATTTCTCCTTTGGAGAGTTATAATGTCATATAGTGAACATTCTTGTAAAAGAAAGAAAGCTTAAGTTGTTGAATATTTAGCTGCAAAGATTTTTTTTATTTAAAAAAATCCATGAATACTATCTTTGATTTTATTGCAAAGCATTTGTAAATTACTTATTTACATTTGGACTATGTAATTCATAAGCATTTACATTTCTCAATTATTTCTATTTTACATTTTTTTCTATTTTTTAATTTTTAATTTGCCAGAGGGCTTGTGCAGTCACCAGAGAGAGACAGAGAAGGAAAGAGAGAGCACCCGCCTGGGGAATGGTCACACTGCAATCTCTTCTCTTTCATCTCTCTCTCCTTTCAGGATTTTGGACACACATGCACACATGCCCAGCATGTTTCCCAGGATGTTGGGTCCAGGACTCAAAGCTTGAGGTCATCCATATGGAATCTAGTCACCTTAACTACCACACCACCGACCAGTGAGATTTCTGTTTTAATGTTCATAACACACACAAAAAAATGCACACAAGACACATTTTTAAAGCATTACCCAACAACTTTAGTCTGATGCATCATATATTCCAAAGTACATCGAAACATACTGTACGATTAAGGGCAAGGAATATGAGAAGTTACATTTTTAAGGTTGCGAAGTGACTTCATGAAATTCCAACACTCTAGGCCCTCAGTCTCCTAGGCCAGTATTACTTTCTGTTACACATCTATGACCCTCCAAATGTACCAGTACCCAACTAGTTTATGGAGAGGAAGCCAGCTGGGAGAAATAGGATTTTCTAAACTGAAAGAATATTACTACATCTTTAGATTTCAAACAAGGAAACCTCCACTTAATGTATCTTGGTGGTGAGTACAACCAATTCTAAATTATCCATGTTTTTAAGTTCAAGGAAAAATTTAAAAATTTGAATAAAGGATAAAGCCTTTTTTCATTGAATATTTCACTGCCACCACCTTTCTGAGATCTAGCCATTTGTCATAGATGCTCATGAATAATGAGGATGACTGATTTAAATTCTGTCTCCTTTCTCTTTTGGTACCCAGTCTTGGTTAGAGCAACAAAATGTCTTCACAGCATGAAATAGGAAAAAAAATTGAAAAAAATAGTCACCAATTAGCTGAATTAATTATAAAAGAGATGTAGATTCCTTTAAAAAATTATTACTGATTTTTTAAAACCCTTCACATTAGTATGCATCTGATAAAATGACTTCTGTTTACCCACAAAAACATTTACTGTCAGTCTGATATAATGTGAACTCACTGTATTTATTTTTATACAACAAAACTGCTTTCCAGACTTTTTATTTACTAATTTATCAGACCCTTTATTTACACACAGAAAAAAAATTAAAGCAGCTTTCATTTTGCCCACCAACTATTTTTCCTTCAAAAGTAAAATTTCTTAGAACCTGATAAAATGGAAACTTACGATAACATATCATCTGGGAGCCATCAAAAATTTCCATATTCTAGGCTATCAATGATGTCACCAAATGAAGCACACGTTTAAAAGTCTTTCAGTGATGGGGCTCCCTTACCTTATAGTACATCTGTGGAATAGTATACCCAATGGGCTTCTGCCATTTTCGAATTGCTGTAAACTCACGTAAGAATAAAATTTAAGAAATGTTGTTGCGCACACTTCTTGATAAAGTAGAGAACATCTTTCTGTCTTCTGGAAATCTCCAGGAGAGACTGAGGTGTATGTATGTTTTATTTATGAAATATAATGAATTGAGGTTGGACCATATCTAGACTTCCAATCCATTGTTTTCTCACTTGTGACTGTTGAGTATTCTCTTCATTTCCTCACTCTCGTTGTTCAGCTTAGGCCATCAGTTCATACACCTGCAACTGCCTCCATCAAGCTGGCTGGAAGGAACACCAAGTCTGGTTAAAATCAGCTGTTTATGCTTTGCTTGTATTTCAGCAGTCAAATATGGCTCATGAATAACACAACTTCCTTGAAAGATCTTTACATTTACAGTCTCAGACATCACACTAACCTTCAACTGCCCAGCAGCCTACTGTATTTCTCTAATCACTTTCTGGGAGATCAGGCTTTGTCTCCATCTCTGTTCTGAAAGTATACTTGTCAAGGTTACCACAGTCAACATGTCGCCAAATCCAATGATCAGTTCTCAGTAAGAATTCTCTTTATTCCTATCTAAAAGCATTTGACAGAATCGCATTCCTTGAGATATTTTCTCTACTTCTAAGAGTCTGCCCTTTGCTTTTTCCTACCTTACTAGAAGCTCCTTCTCAGTTTGTTTTACTAGTTTCTCCTCCTCTTCTCAATCTCTAGTGGTTGCATGCTCTAGAGCTGTCTTTATTACCGCTTCTCTATCTACTTTGTTTCCTTAGGTGATGTCACTGTTAACAAATACACATACTGGGCCAGCCTCATGGCCTGGAGGTTAAGGGAACCAAATCCCTTATGGTCAACTGTGGTTTGAGTCCCAGCCCTGGTGACTTGAAGAGCACACCAGTTGTGTGTGAATATATACCCAAAATCTCAACAAGATGGAGGAGAAGGGATTGCAGCATGGCCACACTCCATGAAGTGAATCCCACTAGTCCCCACTCTAACAAGTGCACATGCCCTTTGGTGAATAAACAAATATCATTCATACTGATTGTTCCCAAACTTATGTCTCCAATTCCAGCTTCTCAATTGAGTTCCATCCACATCTGTATTTCCAAATACCTGAATCACTACTCACATTTGAACAACACTGTCAACTCTCTTGACCTCATCAACATCTATAGACCACTATATCCAACAATGACAGAATACACATTAAGGGCTAATCTCCTTAATGTATAAAGAACTTATATAAATCAGGAAGAAAAAGACCAACAACTCAATAATAAAATAGCTAAAGGAGAGATGGTTCATAAGAAAAAAAAACATGTAATACTTTTCAAACTCCAGTAAATGCTAATTAAAATCACACTGAACTACTACTACTCACCTGTCAGTTGGCAAAAATTCAAATTGATAAAACATTCTCTTGGCAAGGCTAGAGGGACAGACAAGATTACTGGTGACAGAGCAGAATGAAAAAAAGCTCATAGAGGGAAATTTGGCTATAGATAACAAAATTACAAATGCCCTTATCATTTAGTCCTGTAATCCCACCATTACTGCCTTTAGTACCAGGCCACTGAGGCCCCCTGCCCTGGGCCCTCTGTTGCATGGTTTATAGCAGAGTTTGGCAAACTTCAGCTAATGGGCCAAATTCAGTTCACTTCCTGTTTTTGTAAATAATATTTTATTAGCATACATCTATGCTTGCTTATTTGCTATTTGTTTACATCTGACCCTTTACACACGTTAAAAAATTTCACCCACCTCTCAAAAACCCTTCCCAGTTTTCTTTTTAAGAGATATTTTTGCTATAGGGTATACCAGAGAGACAGAGAGAGAAAGACAGCAAGAGAAAAATACCCCCCCCAAGGGGGAAGGCCATGCTGTAACCCCTTCTCCATTCTCTCAGGATTTTGAGCACACATGCACACTCGCCTGGTGTGAGCTTTAAGCCACCAGGTCCAGGACTCAAACCTTGGCCAACCACGTGGAAGTCCAGCATCTTAACTACTATGGAACCTGCTGCCCACCACCCCAAATTTTAGTTTTAGGTTGGTATCTGGACTTGCTGGGGTCAGTAGTGCCATCTGGACAGAGTACTCCAACTTGTAACTGGTCTTGTATGGCCCCTGTTTGTCAGAAGCACCTGCCTTATGATTTATGAGTCATCATCTTAAGCCCGAGATTGGCCAGGGCTGGCAGGGAGCTCCAGTTCCTTTTTTCCACCTTCAGAGCCCTCTCTAGCCCTTTATCCCATCGCGTAGGGTCAACCAAATGCCAGAGACCATGCGTATGTGATAGTTCTAGAATTCCATAGCCAGCCTCAGCTTCCTTCTGAGAAGGCAGCTTGGTGAACCAATCACTTGCTGGACAGAATAATAATGGACTGCTAGAATGGTGTTCACATGTCTGCTTGGGGAGTGACTCTCATGTCAGACTCAGGGTGAGTTCGGAGCTTTAGGAAACAGAGTCCACACTTAACCTCTGAGCTTGAGCCTTAGCTTTCTTTTGTCTGCATCATGACTGGCCCTGCCTCTGGCCTAGAGTATCTAAGGGTGGCAGGGTGGTGGCAAATACCCTTTACCCTGTGAGTCTTCTGCCACTTGCACTCAGAAAGGTCCTTTCAGCTGCTCGGCAGGCTCTATGTTACATGTCAGGTAGTCTTCTGGGAGTGGCCATCCTTTTTAACTCTGGAGGCCATTTGAGACCATTGCTCTATAATTGGCCCTTCCAATTGGTGTCCTTCGTGAGTTCCTGGTGTGGTGATGTTGTATTAGTCCACTATTGTATTGGCAACAGAACTATCTGAGACTGAGTTATTTATAAAAATAGAGATTTATTCAACTCACAGTTGGGAGTTCCAAGGTCTAAGGGCCATATCTGACTGGCATCTTGGGTAGTCCTGATAACTTCATGAGGGTGAGAGCAGAGGAGAGTGACTATCCATGACTTTCTCTTCCAGTCTTTTCTCTCCTTACAAACCTGCCAGAACTCCATCATGGGTGCCTCACCTTCATCACTTATTATCTCTTAATCACTCTCAAAGCCTCACCTTTTGACACTATGAAGGCATTACTTTTTCTCTTATTACCTTGACAACTAAATCTCAGCACGTGAATTTGGGGGACATAAACCATATGTTGAGCTTTCTCAGATCAGTCTTGAATTGTCCTGGGCGAGGAACAGGCATTCACTGGCTACATAGGATTGTTCTCACTCTGCTCCTGGGCCCTTGCCTGTTCTCCTCCTGGTGACTGTGTGGAAGGCAGAGTTGTAGTCAACCTTGAACAAGATCACACCCCCCAAAGATTTTGTAATCAAAACCCCAAAAGATCAAAATAAGAGACGGTTGGAAGATTTGTTTCCCATTATGGGTCCCGGGCACAGCTGGATGAAGGAAATACATTCTGCACAGAAGATGTGTTTGTTAGGGACCAGCAGTTGGCATAATGGCTATGTCACTGGACTCCCACGTAGTCAACTGTGGTTCGAGTCCCGGACCCGGTGGCTTAAACTCACGCCAGGCGCATGTGCGTGCGTGCCCAAGATCCCGAGAGGAGAATGGAGGAGAAGGGATTGTGGCATGGC